GACATCTTTGCTCTTCAACACTTTAAAAAGGTCTTGTGCAGCAGATTTGCAAAGTAATACTTCACCTGATTTCCTGACTGCTGCTTCCATAAGTGTTGATAGTTGATCCAAGAAGAATGAAGTCAATGACAACTTCAATCTTTTCTCCACTGATAAGAATGTTGTTTACTTATACTGGGGATCCCAAAATACAGTCTTGGGCGTGCATCCTCCTAGGCACAGAGCCTGGTCTTCACCCTTTAACATCTGCACACATACGTATTTTACGTCATTGCCATGATTACCTCATTTCCATTTCAACTTTGAGAGGCAATGTAAGGATTCTCACTAATAGGTGGCTTATTTAAAATAACTAAAATAATTGTACAGAGAGCCTTGTTTGTTTGTTTTTTTCCCACAATAGCTTGACTCAAGCAAAGAAAGATACTACTCTTCCCAAATAGGATGATTTTCTCACCAGAGTCTAAGATTAGCAACCACATACCTGGACGTACCCATCATGAACAATTTTCCCTACGGGAGTTTGCAGACATCATTTCAAAGACCATGACAACATAGTTCCTCCCAGGGCTGCCATGTCATGTGATTACCTTTGATCTCATGGCCCTGATATCTTCAGCAGTCGCCAACTTGACCTCACACAGCTGCAGCTGCAACTGCCAATAGCTTTATGGGCTAGTGGTGGCCAAGGCTGATGTCCACAGCTGTGGCCAATCACTCATTCAGCAAAAAATACGCTGAAACTTGACTCTATGTTAAGAAGTATCCCAGATGTCCCTGGGTCAGCAATCACTTTGGGGTGGGGAAATGGCTTCCTGCCTCCTTCCCCACCCTGTGAGAGGCCTGTAGGCTTTGAGTTCAGAGAGAACTATGTTGTTATCCAGGACCCATATTAAAACCTTGTGATCGTGGATGAGTGGGTTATTCTCCTAAACCTCTATGCTAAGCAGTATCCCAGATGTCCCCGGGGTCAGCAATCACTTTGGGGTGGGGAAATGGCTTTCTGCCTCCTTCCCCACCCTGTGGGGAGGCCTGTAGGCCTTGAGGTCAGAGAGAACTATGTTGTTATCCAGGACCCATATTAAAACCTTGTGATCGTGGATGAGTGGGTTATCCTCCTAAGCCTCAGTTACACTGGATAAAGAATAAAATGATGTTATGTACAAATGTCATTTTGAGGACTAAGGTGTGCCTGACCCAAGTCA